GTGTTGAATGGATTGTGCTTAAATTTTTGTGGCATGATGATGTTGTGTTTTGTTGAAAATATGTTGAATCGTGCTCTTGTAAGTCCAAAAGTGGTTAAAGTGAACTAAAGTGAGTTATTTTTAAAAAAATTTCATGAATTCATGCATAATCACCATTTTAGAAGCAATTGAGGTGCTAGTTGAAAGGTTTTGTGAGGTTTTTGAAAATGGTTTGTTACAGCATGGTTTTAAACATTGAACTATCGGTTCTGTTTTGTGCTAGGTTTGTCCATAATTGTGGTTAGACATTGTTTTGTGTAAATGTCATGTGTTTTAGTGTTTATGCAAGTCTCTCACATACTTTACATGCCCATGGAGCAAAGTTTCATTTATTATCTTACGTGTGTTAAAAGTGCTTAAATGTTGCTTGATGATTTGGTTTTGATTTGTAGCCTAGTTGACTCGGGTGAGTACACCCCTCTCGCCCGAGGAGTGTTCTACACCTAATCCCCTAAAGCTATCTAGCTTGTGAGCGGTTGGGCTAAAGCTCGTTACATGGGTCCTCTAGAAAGCTTAAGAAGTCATTACATAGATCATGAGCTTTATAAAAAGAAATAAAGAAATAAAGCCTTGACTTGTAGCCTAGTTGGTTCGAGTGAGTAAGTTTGAGGAGTGTTCTACACTTAGTGCCCTATGGCCATCTGGTTTGGGAGTCATTGACCTAAAGCCCGTTACACGGACCTTCTAGAAAGCTTAAGAAGTTAAGACAAGAAGAAAAAAAAAGAAAAAAAAAAGGTGATGACTGAGAAAGAAATTATATGTCAAAATCTTGTGTGGAAAATGATCATTATGTTGCATGTACATAATTTGGGGAGTTTTGCATGACATTTTAACATTGTGATATGAATATGAAATGTGTGTTTGAGAAGCTTGAATGGAGATAGGCAAATCTTGATAGAAACTTTAGTTCTTTATTTAGGATTGTGTTGTTTGCTTGTTGTGTTCAGACTCTTCACTTTACCTTTTGATGAATGTCTTGTTTGTTAATGAATATGATTGTGTATGGTTTTGTGAGAATGTTGAAAGAGTTCTTTTAACTTTACTCGAGGACGAGCAAAGAGTAAGTTCGGGAGTGTGTTAGAGTCATGAAAGTGACTCTATTTTGGTGATAAAAATACCCCATGTGTGATTAAATTGAAGTATATTGAGACAATTAAAGAATCTATGAATTTATTCACGAAAATCGCTTCCTAATATTTTTCTTATGAATTTAACATGTTTGGAATGATTTGGAAAGGATATGAGTTGATATTAGGTTGTGGTTTATGGATTAGGGGTGATTTTGTCTCATTTATGCTGTTTAGGGGGTAAACTATTATATTTATAAGGGTTGATTTTATCACTTTTCAATTGTGTAGGGACCAAAGTGATATTATTTTAGTTTGTCTATAAAAAGAAAACGAAAGGTCACGTACAGGAGAGGCTATTCACTGAGTTTTCTGGCGAGCTCTGGCGACCCTTCGTCTCCCTTTCCGACGACCTCCAACGACGGTTCATCTTCCCCGACCATCTATCATCTTCATCAGCCGTTAACGCCACCGTGAGATGTGATTTGCCGCCACGACTCTTCGCATTCCGCCACCATGACTCTTCATCTTCCAGCCGTGATTTCTGCAGTTTTCAACGACGTTTCAGTTCCCCAGGACCTGATCTTCCTTCCCCACAGCCGGATCTACCTATTCCAAGCTTCAGCCACCGCAAAAACCGTTGGAATCTGTCAAATCATCGTCGTGCCTCTTCATCTTCCAGCCAAGATCTTTCTCATTTTCGGTGACCTTTCACCTCCCCAGGACCTGATCTGAACTCCCCATCACCAGAGCTTCCCATCGGTACCTTCGGATCCCATTTCAGCCACCATTTTCCGGAAAACCCGCCGGAAAATTAACGTCTTTCGACGAGTGCGACTGTTCGTATTTCGGGCTGTCCGTTGGTCATTTTCGCCCCTTCTTCGCATCATATCGCTGTCAGTTACTTCCTCTCTGCCATGATCAGCTTCGTTTCCACCGTTTCAGCCTCCGTCCTCACCACCATGAGCAGTTGAGTTCCCGGTTGTCTGTTACGGCGTAGGCGAGATCAGGATTGACTCCATTGCTCTCCTCATCAGCTCTCGACTAGTTGGATGAGCCCGAATGTTGGACATTTGGTTAAGTTTCTTGTATTCAGATTATATTTGTTTTCGTTTCAATTCGTTTACGATGCTTTAATATTATTCTAATGCTCAACGTGCTGAATTGATAATATCTATTGAGAATGTTTATTGATATATAACTTTTTGCATAATTGAATGTCGGTTTGAGATTATTGAGTGTTGATTATGACTTTACATTGCTTCGGTACAGATTGCAATCAAGTTGTATTAGCGTTTAATATCATTTCTACTAGGAATGCATTTGTTGTGTAATTAGTTGATTGGATGATACAAGTTGATAGGTTGTACTTGTTAATGTTGTACCAACTAGTCGTGTTTAAGGGTTTAGCATTTTTCGGTTAGTCAATGATAGTCTTTAACCAATCGATCTGTAACTACGACGACGGGGAGACATGATAGATTATACCTAGATTGCCAGGAGATATTTCTATTGATTTGCCTAGCCTTGTAGGTTTAGGAAATTGAAGAGCAAGGAGAGGAATTGTGTGAGTTGGTCTTGAGTCAAACCCAACCCGTAGTGACAATGCTTTTAATCTTGTGTTTTAGTTAGCAATTTATTTGATGCGTTTAATTTCCTGCAATTAATTAGTTTCCTTTGTTTTAATCAATCATTTTGCCAATTTCTCCTTCGTTAACTCAAATATACATTAGGTCATTAGTCTTGCTCTCTGTGGATTCGACCCTGCTTACCGTTAACTATGGTATTTAGGTTTAATTTTGTGGCCATGACGACCGGTTCGACAGCAACCAAGCCTGATCTAATTTTCACCACCAGCCTCATATCCAGATCTATGAGCAAGCCAAGTAAGATACATTACAAGGCTGCAAAGAGGGTGCTACAGTACATTAAGGGCATTGCTGAGTTAGGAATCTAGTTCAAAAGAGCTGAAAAATTCAGCTTAATTGGCTATTCCGATAGTGATTGGGCAGGCTCAGTTTATGACATGAGAAGCACTTCTGGGTATGTTTTCTTTATCAATCATGGTGCCTTCAGTTGACTTTCCAAAAAACAAGACACAGTAGCTCAATCTACTGCTGAGGCAGAATACATTTCTACCGCTGCTGCTACAAGCCAAACAGTCTAGTTGAGAAAGATTTTGGGAGACTTGAGGCTGAACCAAGGTGAACCTACTACCATTTATTGTGATAACATGTCAGCTGTTGCAATAGCTAAGAATACTATTCTCCATTGTCGAACTAAACACGTCAAGATTAAATACCATGTTGTGAGTGAGGTTGAGCAAAACAGAGAAATCAGTTTGGTTCATTGCTTAGGAGAGAGCCAACTGATATTATGACCAAGGGATTGAATCAGTCCAAGTTTGAAGAATTCAGACTCAAACTTGGAGTTTCCAGCATAAATATCAAGGAGGAGTGTTGATCAAACTGATATTATGCTGGAAACTGCATGTAGGATGTCAACTTTTGAAATCTGATGTTGCAAGGTTGGTGGAAAAGTTTAAATTTCTGCTGTAATTTTTTGGTTCTTCTGTAACTCTTTGGAGCTGAATCTCTTTAATCAATGTAATGTTAATTTAGGTGAATTCAGCTATAAATCAGCTGGTTAGGTGTTTTGTAATGTGATATGTTTGTAGTAGTTAGCTAGGTATGGCTGATTTATTTTGATTGTAAACCTGCTGCAGAGTAGGTCTAACAGCAGTGCAAACCATGTATATTATTTACATTATTGCTGAGTGAAGTTAGACCATACCGGTATTTTCAATTTTTCATTTTGTGTGCCAACTCCTCTGCAGTGCTTTTCCTTAGAATTCTCCAGCTCAAAAATCATCAATTATGAGATAAGGGAGACAAGAGGAATCTCTTCTCTTATTTAATTAGGAATGTGATGTTGACTTGGATCTAAACATTATATCAGCTACATTTATGCAATGTCTCCCACCTGCTACCCAACTCTTTTTCTTTAGCTTCAAAATCATACTAGTATCTTCACGTTGCTAACAATTCATAATTTTTTTCTTTCTGATTCAGAGGCTGTGCATTGCGTTGACTCTGTTTCCTCTGCAGCAGTACATGGGATAGCAATCCAGTTTGGCTTGCCTTCCTATATAAAACATGATAATTGTGTCCTCGTGCATACCTATTTATATTTATCGGTTCATGTAATCAGGAGACAAAGTCTGTAAACAACCAATTTGATACTAGAACTAGTATAATTTTCAGCACACGAGGGCAGTTGACATAAGAATTGCAAATATTTAATCAAAACTTTGAGGTCCTATGCTGATTAACTGCTTTCCTTGATGTTAGAAATATTAGTTATTACATATTGCATAGTGTACTGTAACACCAGGACAGCCAGCTCATTTTTCATTGCTTAAACCGTGTAAGAATTGAATCTACCATGTGAATTTCATTAATTGATGGTTTTCAATATATTTGGAGAGAATTGGAATCTTGACAGCTCTAATATATACTTAAAATTGACATAAACTAATGATCGAGTCTCATTATTGATCTATTTCAAAACTAAGGCTTTCATGGGGTAAATTTTGTGAAGCATTTGAAGATTAACTGAACTTATTCACCCAAGTTGACTTTTTTTTTTTTTTTTTTTTCTCTGAAATAGAAGAAATATCCAGAGTTGCTTATTATAGAATGTTAGTTTCGTCTCCAAGCAAGTAGAAAATCAAATATAATTTACAAAACATTTTAGTTGTAAAAGTATATGCTCTCAGATAAGAGGGAAGATTGAGATATCAGATAAAAAATTTATCTGATTGATTTAGTATCAATAGGAATATACAAGTGTATTTGATTGATGTACAAGTATAAAGTATCAAAATTTTGTAATCTAATTGTAGAGGATGTTGAGAAGAGAGACTCTAGTTTTGATCAGACGCCTGCTCAAGGACTCAAGTCCAGCTTCAAAATCTTGAATGCTTGACTCAAATTCCTTAAGCTGGTTTTGAATGTTATCGGATTTGCTTGTCTTGTGAGCGATGATGGTAGACAATTCAGCATCCAACTTTTCAAACTCATTAATGTCTGTTTCTTCACCTGCTACCTTTTTTGAGTGGATTAGCTTGGAAACTACTGACCAGCTGTTTAGCTTTGATGGAACCTTTGGCCCTGAGATAAGGGACAAGAAGGATTCGATCACATTGAAAGTGACTGCTTCAACCTCTCTTAATATGCAAATTGTGGCGTTTGACTCATCTTTCTCACAGATTGGAGAGATTCTTTGGTTTTTCATGGCTTTCAAATTCTTCAAGGCCTTTTGGATGGTCATTTTTACTGTCTTCCTGGAGGTCAAGTATTTCTTAACCTCACTTGTAAGCTCAATATCATAACATCTTCTTCTGCGGAAAATTGATTGAAGGCCTTGTACAGCTTCTTTGGTTTGTACCAAGGAATCCTTAGCAATGCCACAGATATCCAAGAGTCTAAGAGATCCATTCAACATCTCGTCTTGGGCTAAAGCTTGTTGAATCGAAGCTAACTGAAGCAACTTATCAACACAATCATGCAAATCTTGAAGGCCATTTATCCCATGGCTTATTGATGATGATGATGATGTAGAAGTAGCTTGAGAAGCCCTTAATCTGCTCAAATGCTGATCAACTTCTGAAGTAATTGGGTGTGGTCTGGAAGGAAAACTGTTAGAGCGAGTATGGTAAGAAGGAGCCATTTTTTCCTCCTTTGGAATTGAAAATGCCTAGAAATTGATTGTTCAGTTCAATCTGCCTTCATTTTGTGACTATATGCTCTATATATATAATGAATAAGAGAGACAAGAGGAATCTCTTCTGCTTATTCAATTAGGTACATGATTTCAGATTTGGATATGAACATTATATTAGCTGCATTTATACGATGTCTCCCACCAGCTCCCCAACTCTTTTTTTTAAGCTTCAAAATCACACTAATATCTTCTCATGAGTAAAAAATAATATTTTTCTTTCTCAATGATACGCAAACTATGCGATGAATGGAGGAGGGTATTGACCCTGTCTCCCCTGCAACACTAGTTTCCTGTAGGAAACATGATGGTTGTGCACTCGTGCATATGTACTTAATATATAAATTTGTGTAATCAGGTATTGACAATATGCAAGTACAAGCAGGAAATGAAAATTAGAATATGCCTTGTGTGAGAAAAGTCTAGAAATAGAGAGAATTTGAGGGGAAAAACAGAGGCAGTTGTAGCCATTTAACTGAATTACTTACAGTTTATTTAGCTGGAGTAGAGGTGCACATATATACAAGTTCAGTCCATGAGCTGAACTGGAAACTACGTCGTTTACGTAGGATATAACTCCTTAAGCTATGTCGTTTTATTTGAAATACTGCCAACTCCTTGTAGCTTCCATTCTTGACATTTTAACCCAGCTACTTTGCATAGTCAATATTCCCCCTCAAACTAAACCGTGTATCTTCCAGCACTCTGTGCACTTTCCAGGACTTTATTGATCAGCTGCATAGTCAACATTCCCCCTCAAATCAAACTGTACTTTAACTCTGCACATCTGATGTTAAACTGCATTGTATCTCTGCACTGGGCCGCATTTAACTCTTCACTGGACTGCATTTTAACACTGCACATCTAATGCTGAACTACATTTTAACTCTACATATCTAATGCTACATTTTAGACTGCACTACAGCACATCTTCAACTATTCAGTACAAGAATCAACCATTCAGGACACCAATGCACTGGACATTTTAGACTGCACATCTGATGTTAAACTGCAGCACTGTACTGCATTTAACTCTGCACTGGTCTGCATTTTAACGCTGCACATCTAATGCTGGACTACATTTTAACTCTGCATATCTAATGCTACATTTTAGACTGCACTACAACACATCTTCAACTATTCAGTACAAGAATCAACCATTCAGGACATCAATGGAACTGAGTTTTGCAGGCTGATGTTACCTGCAGTCTTTCTGATACGATGCTTATTTCCATACTATATTCATCCTCTGCCATATAGGCTAATACGCAGACACATGGCAATACCAAATATATATAGATCTTATTGTCTTAAAATTTTGATTTATCAAAGATGACTATTGATTAACATTATGTTTTCTAAACATGTCCATGTTATACATTATCTGTAATTTTCTTAAGAATTGAAAATAGCAAGATTGTTGTCGCTGTTAGTTTCTCAAACCTGTAGAATACCCGCATTAATATATAAGGATAAGGATAAGATAAGGTCAAAAGCTTTGGTTATTTTACCAAATTAAAGTAAGTAATTCATATCAAAGTAAAGGAGTGGGCATATTTGAATATATTGGCAATTTCGATGAACCTTTTGCGTTTTGATTGAATTGATGATGTAGGTGATAATCTGCTGGAAATGGGACAACTTCCTGTTGGATATTCAAACCAGTTTTTAGAGCCAAAGTTTCAATTTCCGTTTCTTGTTATGACAGCAGTGGTTATGGAGCAGATATCAAGCCACTCATGTGAAGACTTTATGTGATGTTTTGTTGAGACTTGACTTGAGTTGGTGCATATGTTTTGATAAAGTGTATTTTGTAATATTTTATTTTTTACTGCAGTAGGTAAAACAGTGACTAAGTCTATATTTACATTGCTCTGTTCAATGAAAGAAAGTACAGAGAAAAATCCCTAAAAATTTTGTTGTCTCTTTCATGTTCAATCTCTCATTTTTACTCTGAAATTTTCTTCCTTGAGCCAACAAATGGTATTAGAGCAATATTGATCTTAAGGGCCTGATAACCTCATCTCTTCTTCTCCATTTTCTCAACCCCTGTTACGCAGAAATCAACTTCAAGTATCACACGAACTGACTCAATGGCACAACCTTCAACCTCTCTTTCTCCTCCAACCTTCAATAGGGAGCAATATCACATTTGGGCTATCAAAATGAAAACGTTCTTGAGAGGACAAGGATTATGGCAGTATGTTGAAGAGAATAGACAACCACCTGTACTATGGCCAAACCCCACCTTGAACCAGATTAGATTATACGATGAAGAAGCCACCAAATCACCTAGAGCCTTGTCCCATATCCATGCAGTAGTGACTGAGCAAGTGTTCACTAGAATCATGGCATATAAATCAGCCAAGGAAGCATGGGATAAACTCAAAGAAGAGTTCGGTGGCAGTGATACAACAAAGGGTATGTAGGTGCTAAACTTGAGGAGGGAGTTTGAGATGTTGAAAATGCAGGAGTCTGAAACCGTAAAAGAGTATGTGGATAGGTTGATGAATGTGGTAAACAAAATCAGATTAATGGGAGAGGAGATGACAGATAAAAGGATAGTTGAAAAGGTTCTTGTTAGCCTACCCGAAAAGTTTGAATCTAAGCTATCCTCACTTGAGGATTCTAAGGATTTGACACAAATCACCCTCACTGATTTGGTGTATGCCCTACAAGCTCAAGAACAAAGGAGATTGTTGAGGCGAGAGGACTTTAGTGAGGGTGCAATGGTGTCAGATTCAAAGGCAAACCAGGCCAGGGTGGAAGCAAGAGACCTACGGGAGAAAAGAAAAGAAAGGAGAGAATGGGAAACCAGTGGAATAAACCGGCTGGAGGGAAAGAATTTCCACCATGTGCTCACTGCAAGAAGAAGGGGCATAATGAAAAGAGGTGCTGGTTTAGGCCTAATGTTCAATGTAGATCATGCAAGCAATATGGTCACATTGAAAATGTATGCAAAAGCAAACCATCTCAGTCAACACAGCAAGCACAAATTGTGGAGGACCAGCAGCCAAACTTAGATCCAGAGTAGTTGTTCATGGCCTCATGCAGTGTTGTTCAAGCTCAAAATGATGATTGGTTGATAGATAGTGGGTGCACAAATCACATGACAGCAAACCTGGAAGACTTTGTGAATTTGGACAAGTCTTACCATTCCAAGGTTAAGGTTGGAAATGGGGAATTTGTGGCTGTGAAAGGGAGAGGAGATATTGTTGTGCAAACAAAATCAGGTATCAAACTCATTCCCAATGTATTGTATGTGCCTAGTTTAAGTCATAACTTTTTGAGTATTGGACAGATGATGGAGAGGAAGTATGCCCTGCACTTCCAGGATCAGTTTTGCACAATCCTGGACTGTGAAGGGAATGAATTGATGAAGGTTAGGATGATGGGAAAAAGCTTTCCCATTAGGCTGAACAAACCAGAATTAGAAGTATATGTTGTGGAGGTAGATGAGACTGAATTGTGGCATAAGAGATTAGGCCACTTAAATTACCATAGTCTTAAGGAAACTCAAACCAAAGAGTTGGTCTGTGACCTGCCCAAAATTGCTGAAAACAAAACCATTTGTGCTACTTGTCAACTTGGCAAGATGAGCAGATTACCCTTCCTTGTAAACAAGGCCTAGAGAGCTAGTGAGAGGCTGCAACTTATCCACACAGACGTGTGTGGACCTATGCAAACACCATCCCTAAATAGAAGCAAATATTTTATCCTCTTCATTGATGATTATTCTCGGTTGCGCTGGAGGTGTATTTTTTGAAATTAAAGAGTGAAGTTGCAGAGGTGTTTGAGAGGTTTAAAGTGCAAGTTGAAAAACAACCAGGCCTAAGTATAAAAACTGTTAGAAGTGATAATGGGAGTGAGTATACTTCCAACGAATTTGAGAAAATCTGCAGAGAGGCTGGAATTGTTCACCAGTTCAGTTGTCCCTATACTCCACAGCAAAATGGAGTTAGTGAGAGGAAGAATAGGACTGTAATGGAGATGGCAAGGTGTATGGTTGCTGAGAAGAGGCTGCCTAAATCATTTTGGGCAGAAGCTGTAAATACAGGGGTCTATTTGCTTAATAGACTCCCTACTAAAGCCTTGACAAATAAACACCCTATGAAGCTTGGTATGGAATGAAGCCCTCAGTTAGAAACCTAAAAATCTTTGGGAGTGTGTGTTATGCTCTCATTCCAGCAGCTAAAAGAAGTAAGCTAGATGAGAAGGCTTTGACAGGAATTTTTATAGGATACAGTGAGCAGTCCAAAGCCTATAGAATCTATGATCCTGCAACCAAAAAGATACACATCACAAGGGATGTGAGGGTGGATGACAAGGGGACGTGGAATTGGGTGAAAAATGAAGCTGAAATGGACAGAATAGAGCAGATTCCAGATACACCAGTGGATAGATTTGAGATTCCAGAAGAGGTAGACTTGGATGATGATTTTCCAATCAGGGGAACAAGGTCGTTGGTTGAGGTTTATGAGAGATGTAACGCAGCCATGCTTGAACCTGCAAACTTCAAGGAGGCTGCTAAATCCGAAATTTTTAAGAATGCAGTGCATGAGGAGATAAACATGATTGAGAAGAATGGAACATGGGAGTTAGTTGACAGACCAACAACCAGGAGAGTGATCCAAGTAAAATGGATTTTTAAAAGGAAGCTAAGGCCTGATGGTTCAGTGTACAAACATAAAGCAAGACTAGTTGTTAAGGGTTTTGCTCAACAATATGGTGTGGATTTTTTAGATACCTTTGCACCGATGGCTGCATGATACTATAAGGATTCTTCTTGCATTGGCAGCCCAATTTGAGTGGAGAATCTACCAATTAGATGTCAAGTCATCATTCTTAAATGGTTGGCTCAATGAGGAAATTTTTGTGGAGCAACCGGAGGGATATGAAGTGGAAGGGCAGGAGCATAAGGTGTATTTGCTGAGAAAGGCCTTATATGG